GGGTTTGGGGTTGAGGGTTTAGGAGTTAGGGTTTGGGGTTTAGGGTTTAGGGTTTAGGGGGCTTGTCGATCCGTGAGTGGAAGGAGCACTTAGGGTTTGCAGGGTTTCTGCTTTAGGGATTAAGGGTTCAGGGTCTTGGATCAGGGTTGAGGTTTGGGGTGTAGGCTTCAGGGTTCGGGTTTAGGGTTTGCGATCACGGTTTGGGTTCGGGTTTGCCTACCGTAAACCCCAAACCCTAATCCACCATGAACCCTGCTGTGGAGAAAGGCCCGAGATAAACTCTGGGGTCCCAGGGTGTAAGGATTTCGGCTTATTGAGTTTGGGGTTATAGGGGTGATGAAGTGGTACTTTGGTGACTTTGGTGTACTTGCAGAGGGCTGCAGGGGAAGAGTGCTACTAATTATTCAGACTCCTATACACAAGACCTTTATTTTCCGGATCTTCGGTGCAGCTCTTAACATAAAAGCCTGAATGAATAGAATATGCTTCTGGGGATACCTGATTATATAGTATAATAGACCCCACAACCCTATTCTAACCATTTAGGCCCCTACATTATGTAGGATTGAAAACCCTAAACCCTATACCCTAAACCTTAAACCCTAAACTTGAGGATTGGGGGTTGCCTCAGCTTCGCAAACTTCGCGTGCCAGGACCTACACCGCGGAGTTCTCCGTGACGTCAGCCTGGCCCTAAGCTAACCAAGGGGGTTCCTTAAAGGGATCTATAAGGGTTTGTATAGGGTTTAGGGGGGTTTAGGGTTTACCTAAAGTCTCCATTGTGCTTCCTTTTTCTGGTTCACCGATTTTACTAGTTATAGGAACCTAACCATAGAATTGTTAACCCAACAAGGAATTGCAATGGAGACTACGGGTAGGCCCGTGTGGGTTTCGTCATGCTGAAACATTCAGGATTGGGGTTGTATGTTCATCAGCTTCATTACCCAGCCGGACCTAACCAATGGGAGAGTTCTACGGTTTCCATATGCATACGTATCGATACAGGAAACACGGAAAGTGTGATAATATAGCTACATGGATGCTCAAGGTTCGTACGTCTTTAACTGAACCTCCAAGTATAGTACCGGGGCCTTCATAAGTTCAACAGGGTTTGGTAGTATAGTTGTAAACGGTCTAAGCCTATAAACCCTAGACCCCAGACCCTAAACCCTTAAACCCTAAAAGAAAGCTCTAAGGACGAGCATCAACGAAAAGTTTTGCCGCCCCTTATAGCATTCTTGCTACTTTGCCAAGTTCCTAGGGTGACAGCATCTAGTTATCGGTGTGCGTGTAGTTTTTGGAAATAGGTACCTAAGCGTTCGCAAGCTAAGCATGTTCGCTCAGTTGCCGGTGGGCTTCCTGAATACAACTATGCCACATACTGACCCATGCTTCCATTCTATTTATTCACGTACTGATAATTCACCCGCTTTCGCTTTCGGCGAGGAAGCACATCCTTGAACCACAAGCACCAGCAGCGAGCAAAGACCACAGCACAAGAACTCACCTATACAAGGCCACAGCTTCCGATGAACAGCTTGGGGATCGCAAGAGGCCAACTGAGAAAAGACATTGTGCCAAAACCCTAAACCAGTCCGTTCTGCTGTTCTGCAATGAGTGGATGGTGGTGATGGTGTTTGCTTGACGCTTGCAGGCATTGTCGGGTTTGTTGCAATTTGCGTTATCGTTTGGGCCATTTGGAAGAAATACCATATGGTTCAATCGCCCCCTCCGGAAGTATTGCTAGAAGAAGGGAGGCTTACGGCTCTGGAGCTTCCATCGCTGCTGCACTCGGAACCTCCTGCGATGCGGCATCGCGAACTCTGCAGCAAAAGCGGCATCACCATGTTGGAACCACCACTCAACAGTTCCACTCGGAATCCCAATGAGTCGACGGACCAACAGCCCTGCACCAAGAGGCGATTCTATGCATGATCAAGTTCGACATTAATATGGGTAGTTGGCATAATTATGGTCCCTTTTAGGGTACCCTAAATAATAGGTGCCGTATTATAATAAGGACCCAAAAAGGGACCATAATTTTGACAACCACCCATATGGTTTAGTTAACCTGCGTGCAAGGCTCCGGTAAGGAAGCTAGTCATAGCCATAGCATTCCTTGTTATCCTGACGCCTACTGCTTAGGTGTTTTTACCATATCATGCATGCAACGTGACTCGTCGGCTCGGGGCACACTGTCCAAATGACCTCCAAGGCCCCGAGACTACTGCGGTACAAACCCACTAACCTCATAAATGCCGATCTAGGGCCGGAATGATTAGTAAAAGTCCCCTGATAGTGCCTCAAGTTCGCATATTTTCAGGAGTGTGAAATGAAGATAACAACTTACAAAAATCCACAAAAACCTCCTTCAATGATTAAGCCCCAAACCAACGCACCAACCCAAGAAGTAACTCTTATGCAACCTCACAAAACCTACCTCACCAAAGCAAAACAGCCTTAAACACGAGACCCCGAGAGCAGTAAAAACAACCCTAAGCATAAAACCCTAAACCCCAAAAGGCTTAAACCCCTAAAACATCCTGAACCCCTAAACCCTAAACCCTAAGCCCTGCCTTAAGAACCCAAAGCCTACTTTTTTGTAGGGTCCCTATAAATCCCATATTAGGGTTTACAATAAGAACCTACAACAAACTGGGATTTTGGGTTCTTAAGGTAAACCCTAAACCCTAAACCCTAAACTCTAAACCTTAAACCCTAAACCCTAAACTCTAAACCCCAAGAGCTCTAAATGCCAAGGCTGCGGCCTGGCTGGTGGTCCAGGATCGGCAGCCTGGTTCCACACCACCCTACCAAAAGGATTACGGTTTAGGATTTAGGGTTTAGGATTTAGGGTTAAGGGTTTAGGGTTTAGGATTTAGGGTTTAAGATTTAGGGTTTAGGATTCAGGATTTAGGGTTCAGGATT